TGCTCCTTCAGTATGTTGTCTCTTAGGTTAACCCCTAAACATGGGATATGGAAGTCACTGTTGGGGAAAAATGCATTAGCTTGAATGACAGCCCTGTTGTTCTACATGTTAGATGTTTTTCCTGCAGCTAAAATAATTGTTTCTGACTACTGTATCTTTTCCCCAGCTATATGATATCTGATGAGTCAGGATACACAAAAAAAGTCTGAAAAGTCTTACATATTTGCAAGTCAATTTATGTGCAACACCATTCACTAAGAAACAACAAGATGGAAAAAAATAATGGCCTCTCAGCCATTATCAACCTCTCTGTGCTGCTTAGGTGAATATACAGACCTGAACCAGCAAACCCAGCTGCAGAGGAGCCAGCAGGGATTTTTAATGCACTTTCACTAAGTTGTGAATCTCCATTTAGAACTATCCCCAGCTGCAGAGGAGCCAGCAGGGATTTTTCACTAAGTTGTGAATCTCCATTTAGAACTATTAGCTCCTCCTCTGCAGGTCTTTTACTAATTTGTCCATATTAAGGTGGTGATAAGCCCTGCAGACCACTTCAACAAACCTGAGAAATCCTTCTTCTTCCCACATTCTAGATCTGGTTGAATTCCGTCACTAGAACCCCTGGGAGAGCTATGTGGCCCATTAAAAGGTTTATATTCTCATTTGTGTTGTCTACCAGTACCATGAGATTTCTTGGGCATACAAAACAATTCTGGTTTTGTTTTATCCATTCAGTAAATAAACATATCTTAATTTAAACCTTAGAGGCTGACAGCAATGGTTTAGCTTTGTGCCTCCTTTTCTCAGTTGTACAAATATTTATGTTTTTGAGTCAACATATACTCTGAGGTGAGCTTATTTTGGCCTGTTAAGTTTGGATGTTTTGAGCATTTACAGGCTCAGGATGATAATGGCTATATGACCACGCTACACCTTCCAGGACAAATTGCTCTACTTCTTAGACTGAAATCAATGAGCCTTCTGTTCTATGCTCATTTCACTAACTTGCAGAGAAATGAAGGAAAAAGAGCTAATAGGACCATAGCTGTATTTCTGGGATTTAAGTGAGTGAGGTGTTTTCCTTACATGTTAATTCCATGCTCTTGATTTCAGAATAAATACCTTACTGTAGAACTCTTCCCTATTCTCTGTACTGCTGGAGAGACATGACCTTAAGTCTGGTTAATATGGACAGGAAGAAATGAGGATGACATTATTCTTCCACCCTTGCTTTGGAGATAGCACACAACAGCCAACAAACTGAGAATTTCCCCTCACAACCCAGATGATACTCTGAAGGGCCGCTTTATGAATGGAATAACTACCAGCCTGAGCACAAAAAAAACCCACTGAGATATCCTCTGCTTGTGTACAACAGAGACTCCCTGCAGACAAGCAAAAAACCCTATTCTTGACACGCCATTACTCCTTGTAATTTAGCAACAAATAAAAGCAGGGCATGGGCAGGGAGCTGTGCTCCTCTTGGGCTATCTCTGGAGATCTTCTACCCTGGCTTTGTTCGCTGTTTGACGCTCCTTAAAGGTGAACAACAGTGCAAACCATAGGTGTCTGAGCAAGCAGAAGAAAGGATTTTCAACCTGGGCAAGAGGAAAAAACCTTGGCACTTTGGTTATAGTGAAGTAGCTAGAACTGAACAAGAAATATTTCTTTTTGTTGTCAATTTTGTTTGACGTCACAAAGGAAGAGCCTGGACATTCTCCTGGTTGAAGCTGTGGGGACTGGAAAAGAAAAGGGGAAGTATTCAGGAGTTGACAGACAGCTGTATTCAAGGCCAGTAACTAACAGGTCTCTGGTTTTGCCTCCATAGCTTGAGACATCATCTCTGTCAAAAAACACAGGGGTAAAGTCTTTTAAGAATGCTTGGGGCGTTAGTCTCCACCGCTAATGAACACAGAAACAATTTGTGATTATTTTCAAGCTTACTTCAGAGATTTTTTTAAAAGCATATTTACATGCTCAGCCACCTAAAACAACACAGACCCATGGCAACCAAGGTGGTGGAAAATCTGTTTTTTGCCAACAGCTTTTGAAACTGCGTGTTCCACTGTTCCAAGCCGGATATCTAGTAGCAGCTATGAGACTCCACTGCAAGAGGATCATAAATAGCCTAGAGGCATCTGTATTAAAATATTTACTATTTTGCCTATTTTATATATATATTAGTTAATGTAATCATTAGTCCAGCTCCTCAGGAACTGTGTTGCAAAAAGCCGTTTGCAATTTGTTTTTATAGTACTATAATATATTTACTAATCTACACCTTTAAGAACTCTTAAAAACTGTTATTTCTAGTAAGTATTAACACTAAGATTTGACTAAAAAGGTTACTTCCCCAAATGTTTTCTGAAAAATATTTTTGGCATAAAAGGTCATGGTATAATCTTTCGAATTTTTACAGAAAGGATCAGAATATCTCAATTTCAACTGCTAAGTAGCTTTACACAAAATACCTTTAGCAGGTACACAGTCAGGCATAAATCCAGAGCAGGCTCTCTGCCTAGTAATTCTTTTAGGTTTAAAATGGTTTGGAGAAAAAACAGTCAAGCTCCCAAATCCACAACTTCGTGTCCTGTCCTACTCTGTACAGCCGGTCCTTAAAATTCCTTTAACCCTCCAAATAAGGAGTTCGCTATTTTGTGTACAGCCCAGGAATTATCCTACAGAAAAAAAGAAGGGTCGCACAGTCCTTTCTGTTGACCACCAGTGGCCTTGTTACATCCATTCTCCCTTCCCCTATCTAATCAGGGGAGGGACTGAGCCTGCGTAAGAAATGCACGTGAATGTCTAGTACCAAACATTCACATATCTTATAGCAACAAAGTATAAGCTTTAACAGTGTAATGAAAATAGCTTGATTTTTTTTTTAGTCTTGATTAGTGAGAAGTTTTCAGTAATTTGTTGTTATATCATTGGAAATAAATTACTATGGGAAAAAATACCAAAAACATCCATTGGGAAGACGACAAAGAATGCCTCAGAGAACTTAAATACCATGGAAGAAGTACAGAAAGAAAATTTCACTAATCAAAAAGCACTTTACCTTTTCTGCAGAAAGGCCTAGCTTTCCAAAATCATCAATGCTTTTTACAAATGAGGGGAACTGGGCTATAATACTTCAAAATTCACATTCCAGGTATGAAAAGAGAGATGTCAGAACCAATGCTGTTTCATCACCAGTCTGATTTTTGGATTTTGGCTTTTTTTGAAAAGCTGTTCAGCCAATCCCTATTTCAATTGTATACCTACCTATAAGTGAACATCTACTATTCCATTTTGTGGTTAGCACAGGTAGCTGTTTTTAACTATATTGACTATAATTGCTGCCCAATTTCAAAAATGGAGGTAATCAACTACTTTGCAGCAGAGTGAAGCTATCGCTGTGTTCAACACTCATGACAAACCGTGCCAAGTTCTCTTATTTCCACAAAGTTTCAAAATCTTGAAGTTGTTTTAAAAACTGATATAAATAGTACACAACAAATCTGCTTCAAATGTTTAAACAAATGAATACATTTTTACACTTACTGAACTGAAGTTACAACAAAAGTAAAACCACTAAAGTTAAGTTTGATGGTAACATTTAAAAACATGCTAGATCTGGACTGCTTCAGTTATCCTGACCACTGCCATTATTTGGAGACATAGAAGGGAAAACCATCAAAAGAGTGCAAGAAATATTTATAAGTCAGTGCAAAATCACAAATAAATCATCTCTCACAACAAAAGAAGCCATTCACAAAAAAGCCAAGCAAGAGGTCAGATTTTCATTGTGGCTCACCAAGTTACATGGATGCTGTAATTATATGGATAAATCTAGACTCCCTTTTTCCTCTCACTTCTGTAAACCAAAATGATACTCTTCACTTATGCTGAGGTAACAGCTTTTACTGATGGGGTTGTACCTATTACTAAAAGAAAAAATTCAGGAAACAAACAGCAGGTTATGGATAAAAAGAGTGGATGAGAGAATATGACCCAAAAAATTATAATGAGTTTGACTGCCTTGCCAAAGAAACATTTTGTTGGAATGCAAGTACAATTGATGTTTAGAAATTAATGGGGTTTTGGAAAGTGAAATCTGTTATATGCGAGATGATAATGATAACACTGGGATACAAAACAAGAATGTAGTTGGAGTGTGAAAAGTAAACACTAAGTGACAGAAAGCAGTTTCAAAATCCAGCGAGGTAACAGAAAATTCATAATGCATTTGCAATATATTAATACAAAATCACCTACAATATACCTGTCAAATATATACTTTTCATTCCTGTGTAGAAATAAGATTATTAAATCCTTACTACAGTAAAATAGAAACTTCACTGATTGCCAAAGTAACAGAAGTCGAGCCCCCTGCATTTGCCTGCCCACAGCAATAGCACTTTTGTCAGAAGCACAGGTAATGATCTTGAGTTACGCACAAAAGCGGGCTCTGTTAGGGCAACGGACAAAGGCAAACGACTGCAAAGCAAGAGGACTCAACTTCAATTTAACTGTCCTGTAAGGTACATACTAATTAGCTGCAAAGCTATGAAATCCTAGCTAGCATGTTAAGTCTGCTACATGACAGTATAATTTGACTTCTTAAAGGATTATGCAAATTACAACTCATCATTCCATTACACGACTGAAAAAAAGTGACAGCTAATTTATACATATCACACCTTTCAAATCCCTAAGATGTGAAGCACCTGTGCAATACATTTTACCTAGATTTTCTAGTGTATACATTCTTGTTTATTGCACTGTACAGAAGCATATCTAAGAGATTTAGTAAAGTCATAGGGTTTTTTATTTGCTTTTTAGCTTTTAGAGCACAATCCCAAAGAATTAAACAACATATTTCTGTCCCTGCTGTAGAGATTTTGCACGCAAGCAGAAGTGTACGGTTTCAACACACGTGTAATTTCTGAATAGCGGGAGAGCACGAGCACTAAATGCACGAGCTAGAGGCAAGACTCACACAGATTTCAACATACTTCTGGTAGGTAGATTCACAGTAGATTCCGTCATATCGGTAGATTTTCCTACATTCTGATTGGTTGGGCAGAGGATGCTGGACAGTTATTCTGTAGAGGCATCAAAAACAGATAGACATGACTAGAGGTTCTCTACAGGTAACTGTAATGCAGGACAAATCAGTATGTTGAAATTGATTTTTTTTTAATCTTACTTTTAAATTAAACACCTTTCTGATCTCTTTAAATCAACTGCCTTGTGCACATAACATCCAGAGTTTCCACTTTTCAAAATTTGCACTGAGAGTAAACTAAACTTCAGTTCTCCACAAGAATGGTATTTTTTTTTCCCCATCAAATAAAAGTGGAAGAGGTAAAGCATTTTATGAACCAAATTGATACTTCACATAGTTTGCGTACATACAACAGCACTTACAAATTGATTATTTGTTGTTTACTGTTGCAATCCTTCCTCAGAGAGAACATCCACTTATAGCAGGCGGAGTTTGTCCAGACAAAGACCAAATAACCCTCCAATTTAAAATGTCAACAGCAATTCTTACATTTGCACAGAATGAGGATGTTGTGGCATTATGAGGACTGTGATTGAAGGTGCTCAGCACCATCTGAATAATGCCATATGTTCTCAGATGGACTGAAAGAAAATGAAGTGATTGGCAGCAATCAGGAGGTGCGCAGCATCTTGTAAAATCAGGCCCTAAAAGATTTGTCAATCATTCTATTATTCATCCCTCCCCAACTCCCCGTTAGCAGAAAATATAATTTGGCTATAAAAATTCAATGTTGTTTTTAAAATATACTTGGGAATTGCACACAAAACAGTACCCACTAATTTTCTTTTTTTTTTTTTCCCCCCCTCCCTCTTCTCTGGAGTAAACACACATTTTAGATTCTTTTGTATCTTCTACAAATTAATACCTTTGTCCCTTTAATAAAATGGTAGTTCACTAGAGTAAGTATAAATTATTTGAGAAATTTTACAAATTTTTCAATGTAGAATTTTAGGCTGTGATTTTTTTAAAAAGTAAGTATTCTTGTCAATATAGAATAATTTATTATTATTATTTTTACACTACTACATCTACACAGCTCTAAGCTAGTCTTCTTTTTTAAAATCACACATGTATTTCAACAGTAATTTGAGACTGGAGGTTTGAGAAAAAAAAAAATTAGTAGCATTATCCAGCAACAAGCTTTACAGGAAAATGGGAAGCTATGTACTGTGGAAACTGAGGGCCTTCCTCAATAAGATCACATCTACAGCGTGTGGCAAACACACACTATTTCATGTCTTAACAGCCCTGGTCTGTTGCTCATTTAAATTGGAAACCCGGTCTGAGGATGCCTCAGCACTGGTTTTGGCCCATGGGAACCCATATGCAGGAGGGAGGAGAAAGCTGTGTGGTGAAGGCAGGACCAAACACCTCCAAACCCTGGGGTATTCCTACATTCATCAATTAAGGCATAGCTTGAGAGACTTATTTATTGTGATACCCTGGGCCTTTCAGTTAGATGCCTAAGCACCATACACAGTGTACGAGGAAAGCTAAGTATCTTAAAATGGGACCTGTAACACAAGAGCTATCTGCACAGAGCCACGCAAGCTAGTAAAAAAGAAATCCAGAAGAGGAGGAGAATTTCTTTTATGTTGTTTGTGCCCAAGACACACAAACACTTCACTTTGGGTCACCCAGAAATGCCTAGAGCAAAGTGAATTCAAGCCTAAAAACTCTTCAATGCACTGTCACATTGGCTGACCCATGCTCCAACTTGACCTCCCTCACTGCCTTTTTTTAAAACAAAAAAACAAAAAAACAAAACCAAAAAAAAACCACAGCCAAAAAACCACAAAACTATAAGAGATGCCTGGTTTTACACATCTTCAAAGACATGAAAGAATTAGTTTCTCCATGCCTTTCAGCCAGAGGAGGTTCAAATGTATATCCCCCACAGCTCTAAAGATTACCACAGAATCCTTGATAACAGCTATTCTAAAGCAAGGGACATGTTAACTCCTCCTGCTAAAACAACGGTACTATTAAAAATGAGGATTCATTGGATGAAAAAAAAAAAATAAAAAAAAGAGCCAGTGAGAGCATGTTATATTAAGAGTCATTTAAAAATGCATAAGCAGTCCTTGCAAAAACTATCAGAATCCTTCCCAGATGAGTGCCCTCATCACAGGGCTTCAGAATTATGCTCTTTCTTCCACTGGTTCTCTGGCCAAATGAACCTTGAATAGTAATACTGATTATTGCTATTACTTGAGTAGTTAAACAAGTGGAGTAGAATATGGCTCACTCCAGAAAACGTTTATGCCAATGTAGTTGTGGCATTCTTCTTGGAAGTGGAAGATGCGTGTTTGAACACCCTCATGACGAAATAGGTCCTAAATAAGTATTCACTGCACCAAGCTTGTGTAGAATACCTATCAGCTAGCTTTTGTTTGTTTCAGTTTTTATTATAAGGGCAGTCCTTGCTCTTTTTTCAAATGTAAGACAAACTGAAGCACAGGAGGTTGCATCGGAACATCAGGAAACACTTTTTTGCTGCAAGGGCAATGGAGCACTGGAACAGGCTTCCCAGAGAGGTTGCAGACTCTCCACACATGGAGATAGTCAACACCCACCTGGACGTGGACCTGAGCAACCCACTCCGGGTAACCCTGCTTCTCCAACCCGGAGGGTTGGACAAGAAGTCCCTTCCATCCTCAACCATTCCAAGTCCAGATGAGAGTTTTGGACTGTAAATCACAATCCTACTTTACAGCTAGGTGTCACAACCAAAGATGGGGAAGAGATTAGAGTATGGAACTTTTTTTTTTTTTTTTTTTGGAGGGTGGGCAGCATGGGTGGGTTTTACTGTGTTTTGGTTTTGAACTAAGCAACATACAAGGCTCTATACACAACATAGCAGCTGATAGAGATCCTAGTCTTCCTTTGCACTGCATAGGGCTGGATTCCACTTCAGGAGCCAAGATCCTATGACCTTTTTTGGACCCAGCCCTTACCCAATGCTCGCTAACAGTTTTGTTTAAAGAGTTATTTTACTCTCCTCCATTCCCCCTCTGCTGCAACAAAAATAACAACAAAAAAATCATATCCCAAAACACTGTGCCAAATAAGACATCAATGTAAATCTCTTAAAATCCCACTGACTTCACTGGGATTGCATGGCATCTAAATTAGCACAGAATGGGGCTGATTGTGCTTAACCTGAAAAAGCAAACAGTCCTGAGACACTATAGAATACATTTCAAAGTGCACACCAGGTTTTTAACGATGCAGTTACCACCGACAGCAATACTTTAGGAAAAAGAAAATCCTGTATTTTCTTGTATGATGTTTGTCTCTTATTGTTAAGGTTCATTTTAGCATGGTAAGCATATTTCCATAAATGGACTTTTATGCTGAATAGAGACTATGTTTGTATTTTACTTATTTAGAAGCTGCCTAACACCATCACACCCATTTGCCCTCTGTCCTATGCCCTATGTACTTTAGCTGTCATTTAATAGATTTACATTTACAATTAATTATTATCTGATAACTATGAGGCTGTGGGTCAGAAACGGGTCAGAAATTAAGACTACCTCACGGAACAGCTTATTCAGCATTCCTTACTGAAAAAACCACCAACCGAAAAAAGCCCAAACTCAAAAACATAAAAACAAGCAGCAAGAATTACTGGTTAGGATCCAAGAAAAAGTTTACAATTAATCTTGGCTGGGTTTTTCCTCCCCTCTAAAAAAAAATAGTTTTAGACAATCTTCACCGAATTAATTTTGCTAACTTGTTTTTAGAACATTGTATCAGCAGACAGAGTATCTCTCTCAGGTTCCACATAGAAAATTGATTTAGCTCAAGATAAAACTGTATATTGGCTATTTACTGTGGGTACTGTATATTCTTGTTCTATTTTATGCTTTGAAATTGATTTCTTGTATTTTTCTCTGTATTAAAAATTAGAGCACTGAAGAGTATTTGAGTCTGATCAATTTGCAGTGGTTAGCTCACCCCAATTTTAGTTGATTTTTGACTGGTTTGAGAAACAAACGCCCCTATTCTCATACAAGCTTTTAGACAGAGTAAAAGCTGCCACTTCATGATAATAAAGGCAAAAATGAGTTTTAGGTTATAACTATCTAACTCTGTAGTACAGAAGGTTATTTTCCAAAGAAGCCAGAAACACAGCAGACAAAACGCCTACCAACGCTGCACAAAACATGGTATTTGACTTCATATTTGTATCCTCTGTTACTTGGTGTGTATCCTATAAGATGATGTTGCTGGGTGCACTCTCACGCCTGACCTTCATTTTTAGAGGTCACATACTTTTGAACTTTTTAGGGAAAGTATCACCTCAGATGTGAAAGGATTAGAAGCTGCCGTGTTTGCACATCAGACAGCTCATCTTCCTATCTTTATGTGTCACTAAACTCTAGATGGATTCATCATACAACTTGAGGTGGAACTTAAGTGCATTTACATACATGTGGAACGTGTAAGCTATGACTAATTTTAACTCACAGGGCAGAATTTAAATAATTAGTTACAAGAAGTCAAACTAAGGGAAAAAAGGAGGAAAGAGATGGTTAGAGGCAGAGTAGTAAATTGTTCCATTTTTGCAGGTAATCTAAATGCAAACTAGAAGCAACTTATCATGAGAATGGATTTTCCACCATCTGGTCAAATAACAGGGGATTTGTCTAGTGGCAAGCAAAGAATGGAATGATGTGAGAAAGATTAGCGGGCAAGTCCTACAGTTGGCTAAAATGTATTTTGTGCAAACAAGAACAGATGACGCCTTAACAATTACACCTGTCAAAAACTCCAGAAAGCAATCCATCTCTGAACAGCCCAGTTGAAAACAGGCTAGTTCATAACAAAATGAATTTTTTTAAACAATTGCCAGCCATAACAGTTTGATGCATGACAAGCTTAGGAAGTCGCATTCCACGTACAACTGAAACCTTTACTAACTGGACCCTGCTTTTCTCTGATAAGTAAGATATTAAACTATTTAAAAAAAGAAAATCTTAAGTGAAGCAATGCAAATAGCTAACGATCTTGGAAAGCAAGAAAATTCAGAGTTAAGGCTGACACACAGGTAGAGACTCCATAATTCCAGTATGTCCTACGTGAATTGGGACAAATAGGCTCTTAGAAAAATGCCCTTTTTTTGTAGGAGTCAAAAATACCAGATAGTACCTTGACTGGCATGTCTTGCACAGAATTAGGGCAGTTCCTAGAATTACAGTTCTTTCTAAATATAGATATGAAGCCTTAAAATTACTATCCTATACACATCCTGACAGGAAGGAGAATTTTAAGTAACAGTGTTTTCTGTAGAGATCTGATTTCTTCAGAAAAGATATAATCTTAGGGTGCAAGAATATTTTATACCAATTCCAAGGTGACTTGCTTTAAAATTTACTCTGATTATATATGTGCCTAATGTTTCAGCATTCAAACTTAACATTTACTAATACTTTAGTTTTTAAACTAAATCATAGTTCCTTACAGGAGATTGAGATTACAGCTCACATAGCTATTCAGAGTGGATGGTGAA